GCTCTAGTGGGTTGGCAGGTGCTGTATTTGTGTAGACAGACAGATTAGGCCGACAATGACCGGCGCAAACAGCATGTATATTTGGGATTTTGCAATTCTACAGACAATTTGTCCATCGCCACAAGCCTGGCAAAGAACTGGTGCTGGTTCCGCTCGCAAAGAAGCAGGCAGCGAAGAAAAGGAAGAAGAGAAGAAGGAAGAGAAAAATGACATGATTTTGAGTTTCGAGGTGGTCAGAACTAGGCAAGGAGGGAGTAATCGTGGCCAAATTTGGCGGCCGGATCCAACCGTTCCTCTGAAGCATCCATCCAGCTGGAGATGAGCTCACAGCAGGCCAGATAGACGGCGAACGAGGAGATAAAAATGGCGTGGAAGCTGGCCGAGAAGATCCAGGAGGTTCTGAAAGGGAGGGACGTGGGGAAGAGATTAGAGGGATGATCGAGTGCACAGGTAAGCCGGCCCTCAAGAGAGGATTTGAAAAGCAAGCATTTTGATCCGTCGTCAGGACGATTGAAAGCGTTTTGTTGTTGGTTAGAATGAAGAAAGAATCACAGCGAGACAAATTTGACCGCATTAAACACCAGGAAAACAAAAAAAACGGTTTTTTTATCTCGATATGTTCAACAAGACGTTTCAGAGTAAGCCAGGAATCTTCAATTTCAAGTGAAAGTATGTAATGATTAAAAGATTCAAAGGTATATCACATCAGAAAACGCCGTCAGATTTCTCCTGGTCAACTGCGATTTGTATGAGAAGTATTCACCCAATTTCGTTTAAGGTGATGAAGGACTGGTAGAAGAAGAATTTTCCCATAATGATATGAGTTGAGCTGACGTTTCCATTGAATTTCACATAGTCTTGCGAGGTCGAAAGTGCTGTCCACTTCTGCCTAGATGAGAACAACTTTTGGGAAAGCAAGGCTATGTGAAATTCAGTGAAAATGTCACCTCAACTCATATAATTGTGGAAAATTCTTCTTCTACCAGTCCTTCATCACCTTAAGCGATATTTGTTGAATACTTCTCATATTACTGATTTATTGGTAGTCCCGAAAACAATACTTAATTCGAAAAATA